ACGAGGCGCGCTGCCGGGCACGGCCTGCCGTGTCGAGAGCTAACTGGACGCGGAGGCGCGCGCTGGGGATGTCTGCAGTCCCTGCTAGCTCCGGGGTTCCTGTTTGGTCCCCAAGCACCCCCAGTCGGTATCGTCTAGTGATCATTTTGTTTTTCTTTGCAGACTTGATTGTTCAAGCGAAGTCCGGCACCGGGAAAACCTGCGTCTTCTCCACCATTGCGCTGGACTCGCTTGTCCTGGAGAACCTGAGCACCCAGGTGAGTTCCCGCGGAGGAGGGTGCGCTCCGCGGGCTTTACCGCGGGGCGGGTGCAACACCAGTAGCTCCTCAGAAATAGATGCGAACTCGGTGACGGACTGAGTGAAGCCACGTGGAAAGTATGAAAGTGAGACAGTAGGGCTGTCAGCAGAAGAAACATACCGACCTGTAGAGAATGTTCGTGGGTTTAGTTGAGCCAAATGCCAGGAAGCAAGACATCAAGGGATTGAGGTAATGCCGCAGAGAATGGCAGGTTTGCACCTTATTTTACGCATTACAATCAGAAGAGAAGCTGAAGGTGGGTGACATGAAATTCACCGGTGCTAGATTAGGGAGGCGGGAGAAAGCAAAGCAGGGAAACCCTTGGGATTGGTTGAAAAGTCCAATGATAGACATGTTTTGCACAGGTGGGTACAGGATAATTCACAGTCACTAATAGCAATAACAACGCGGATTTATGCTCTCCCCCCTGGTGCATTGGTTGTGCCCCGAGGGGTCTGGAAAAAGGAGTTACCTTGACTTTCCAAAGGAATCTTCCATAATAATAAAAGTGTAATATGCTAATTAGACGACGCCCTTCTGGATGAAGAGGCAGAGGCCCCCCCCCCCCCCCCCAAGGCTGCGGTGGGGGCCGAGCCCCTTGCACGCATTACGCATTCCGTGCCTCTGGTGTTATAGATGCAAAGACAATAGACAGGCTTAGTCAAGGTAAGGATTGACTTTTATCAGGGAAGACGCTAGCCTAGGACATGACTACCTGCCATAAACTGCCTTTAGTTAAAAGTTTTAATTTCAGACCATCCTGTGTGGTTACTTTAGGTCTCGGAGTTTGCAAGGCTACCATGCTGGCCTTCCCTGAGCTGGTCAGGTTAGCTTGTGACTCCTCTTGGTCCACAGGTCATTGAGTGGTGGTGGTGTGGCTGGTGACCAAGGATGCATTATTAGTGTTAGAAGCTAGGAATTTTCTATTGTTACTGCATCTTAAATAGAATGTCATGTATGTCAGTTATGTCATTACTTGAGAATACAGATTGATATTATTTTTTGCTTGCTGATGAGATTGGGGTGAGATTTAGCATTCGGCCTGATTCATGGCCGTGTGGTGCTCTGGCTTTTGCTGATAACTGCAGGTGGCTTGTCCAGCTCGGTGAATGTATCATTGGCCTCCCATCTTCTAGGGCAGGGGTGGGGAACCTTTTTTTCTGCCAAGGGCCATTTGAATATTTATAACATCATTCTGGGGCCATACAAACTTATCAACTTAAAAATTAGCCTGCTGCCGAACCGGTTTGGCTCAGTGGATAGAGCGTCGGCCTGCGGACTGAAGGGTCCCGGGTTCGATTCCGGTCAAGGGCATGTACCTTGGTTGCGGGCACATCCCCAGTAGGGGCTGTGCAGGAGGCAGCTGATCGATCTCTCTCATCGATGTTTCTCTCTATCCCTCTCCCTTCTCTGTAAAAAATCAATAAAATATATTAAACAAACAAACAAACAAACAAAAACTGTGACCTCCTGGTTCCTAGGGCTAAGAGGGGTGTTCTTGATACACCTATATCAGCAAAGAGGAAAACCTGCCCTAGCTAGTTTGGTTCAATGGATAGAGCATCAGCCCGAAGACTGAAGGGTCCCAGATTCGATTCCCGTCAAGGGCACATGCCCGGGTTGCAGGCTCGGTCCCCCAATGGGGGGCGTGCAGGAGGCAGGCAGTCAATGATTCTCTCTCATTGATGTTTCTGTCTCACTCTCCCTCTCTGAAATCAATAAAAATCTATTTAAAAAAAATTAGCCTGCTATTTTTAGTTAAACATTTAATTAACTCACCCCTAATGCCTTGGCCCCAGGACCCGGCATTCCCCACCCCTGACAATCTGTTGGAATAGGTCTAAGGTGAACAGGAGATTTGGGTTTGGGGGTCATTTCTTAAAAGATTTGTTAAGCCCATATTATTAATAGTTTGCCAGGCATTGGGGATACAAAGATGAAGCCGATAAGATCCTTATAGTTTTGCTTTGTGATTTAGTAGTTACGACAAGCTATTTCACATTCTCAGTCATGTATCTAACGATGGTTTTTCACCCAGAAACCTACATTCTTGGTCTGTAAAGCTTTTGGAGTCCTACCTTATACTTACCAAATCCTGGGAGAGGCTGCACAGAGGAAATCCTTCTACTCCCCAAGGACCTGGGTTATTCTACTTGTGAACTGCAACATATTTGAGATTTAGGCTTTTGATAATTTGTCAGCAAGGCAAATGCCAAAACCCTGAATAAGTTCCATAAATAAAACCTGTATTTTTAAAAATTTAAGATCTTTGTGTTAAGAAGTAATACATACTCATTTTTGAAAATGGGGAAAATTCAGAAAAATGAATAAGTACCAGAAAAGAAGTATAATCTCACCTACCTAGAGAGAAACTGCTATGAACAGTTTTGGCATATTTTCTCCTAGTTTTTATTTATTTATTTGGCATATTTTCTCCTAGTATTTATTTATTTATTTATAGATCTTTATTGTTGAAAGTATTACATGTGTCCCCCTTTCCCCCCCATTGACCCCTTCCAGCCCTTCCGTGTCTTTTCTTTACTGTTGAAAGTATTACATATATCTCTTTTTGTTCCCCATTGACCCCTTTTAGCCTGTCCCTGCCCCCACCCCAGGTCTTCACCACACTATTGTCTGTGTCCATGGGTTATGCATGTGTGCATATAAGTTCTTTGGTTGATCACTTCTACTCACCCACCCTCTCCCATCTTCCCTCTGAGATTCTGCATTATGTTCTATGCTTCTGTGTCTCTGAATCTATTTTGTTCATTAGATTCCACATATGAGTGAGATCATGTGATACTTGACTGGCTTATTTTGCTTAGCATAATACTCTCCAGGTCCCTCCATGCTGTCTCAAAGGGTAAGAGACCCTCCTTTTTCAGTGCTGCATAATATTCCATGGTATAAATATACCACAGCCTTTTTATCCACTTGTCTACTGATGGGCACTTGGGCTGTTTCCAGATCTTTTTTTAATTTAAAATATATATTTATTGATTTCAGAAAGGAAGGGAGTGGGAGAGAGAGATAGAAACATCAACGATGATAGAGAATCATTGATTGGCTGGCTGCCTCTTGCACGCCCCACACTGGAGATGAGTCCACAACCTTGGGCATGTGCTCTTACTGGGAATTGAACCGTGACCTCCTGGTTCACAGATTGACGCTCAACTACTGAGTCATGCCGGCTGGGCTCCAGATCTTTGCTATTGTAAATTGTGCTGCTGTGAACATTGGGGTGCATACATTCTTTCTGATTGGTGTCTTAGGTTTCTTAGGATATATTCCTGGAAGTGGGATTGCTGGGTCAAATGTCAGTTCCATACTTAATTTTTTGAGGAAACTCCATACTGTTTTCCACAATGCACCAGTCTGCATTCCACCAGCAGTGTACACTAGGGTTCCCTTTTCTCCACAACCTTGCCAGTACTTGTCAGTTGTTGATTTGTTGATGGTAGTCATTCTGGCGGGTGTGAGGTGATACTTCATTGTCTTTTTAATTTGCATTTCTCTGATGATCAGTGACTTTGGGTATTTTTTTCATATGTCTCTTGGCCATCTGTATGTCCACTTTGAAGAAGTGTCTATTTAGGTCCTTTGCCCATTTTTAAATTGGGTTGTTTGTCTTCTTTTTGTTAAGTTGTATGAGTTCCTTATATATTTTGGATAGTAACCCTTTATCAGATGCCAAATATGTTCTCTCACACAGTGGGCTCCCTTTTCGTCTTGTTGATGGTTTCTTTTGCTGTGCAGAAGCTTTGTATTTTGATGTAGGCTCATTTGTTTATTTTCTTCTTAGTTTCTTTTGCCCTAGGACCGTGGTCGGCAAATTGCGGCTCGTGAGCCACATGCGGCTCTTTGGCCCCTTGAGTGTGGCTCTTCCTAAGCCTTAGGAGTACCCTAATTAAGTTAATAACAATGTACCTACCTATATAGTTTAAGTTTAAAAAATTTGGCTCTCAAAAGAAATTTCAATCGTTGTACTGTTGATATTTGGCTCTGTTGACTAATGAGTTTG